TCATAATAAATACAAAAAAACAATCATAAAAAATACAAATCTTGTTCATCATGATGTTTTTTAGTTTAAAAAAAACAAAAGAAAACATACTAAAAAATAACACCCGAAGCACATAAGACGATTAAAGAACTTTACACCAAACACATGGAGTTAATAAAGATAGATTTTTGGAAAACCGTTCAAATGGAATTTGAAGTATTGCACACAAATTATCACTTCAGTGTTGAGTAATTCCAGGCTTATAAAACCCGCGATATCAAAGAAAAAAAAACATAAAAGAGAATCACCCAATATCAATGCTTATTCTCATTTGAAAAAAAAATATGTAACAAACACAGTAAAAAATTCATATTTTGACGACTTTGTTTTACAACTGGAAGTTGAACACTTCCTTAAAGATAATCCAAGTGAAAATATTATATCCAACATAAGTTCTTTTGTCAGAAGATTCAAAGAAAAAACATTGTGAAATACAAAACATCTTCAGAACATGAAGATTGTATTGATCTAACAATGTTTAGTGAAAATATCGAAAAAATCAAGGAGAAATTGAAAAAAAAAACAATTTAAAGATATCTACAACGCATATGAAATGTCATTGTTCAACAGACAACTTCCATTATGTCATTTTCAAATAAAAATGCATCAAGACTGTGGATATCAAAAATAGAAAGAGTCACGCTATTGTTTTGTTGTAAAAGCGATGGTTCTGACAAAACCAAACCATTTGTTATTCACACTGTAAAAAAATCAAAGAAAAGGATCTTCACGGCTCTTTTCAAATTTGGGGGTTAAATATAGAAGTAATCCAAAAAGTTCGATGTCAACGAAGATTTAGTATGATTATTTGAAAAAGTGGGATGACAAATTAAAAAAATCCGGACGTAAAATACTTTTGTTGATTGACAATGCACCAACCCACAATCTCATTGTTGAACTTGAACAGATCGAAATTGTAAACCTCCCTCCAAACACCACCGCCAAACTCCAATATTTAGACTGGGGGATTATTGCTTCTTTCAAAAAGCATTATCGCCATCACTTCATTGAGTCGTGTTTGAAAGCACTTCAGGCCAACAATATTGCAGTTGAAATGAAAAAGAGTGAGTTAGCAATTGTTTGTTGGAATAAGTCAAGTGTTGAAATGAGAAACCGTGTGTTGGAATCATTGTCGTTAAACGGTTTTGAAGAGTTACATAATTGTGCGGGAAAACAACCCGCATCATTGATTGTATCAACGTTTGAACCAATTGTTGGTTTGACAAAAATTGATGTAAGCTCCAAAATAGAGCAATTTAGTGTGGTTGAGGCCATTGCCCTGGTTTCAACTGCGTGGCGAAAGGTAACACGCAAACCTGTTTCTCCCACACAACACTGTTTGGAGAAGTGGGTAGTCAATTAACAGAAGAAAACTGTAATGTACAATACTATGAGTTGTACAGCTCTGTCCCAATGAATGAGAAAGACAGAGCTTAAGGATCAGAAAACTAAGTATCTTATATATATCTTCACTATATGAAGATATATTGCCATTCAATTATACAGATAAAGATGAATCTTCAAATTGAAATCGAAACTGAAAAAAATGAAACTATTATAAAAAATGTAAACTATTAGATTATAAATGTTTTAAAAGTTCGAGAATAAAATGTTGGTCCTTATTTGAATTTTATATCAGATACATTTCAAAAATGAAGTTTTATTTTAATTGATTTCAATTAATTATTTAGTTTCGAAAAATACAATCTATTTGTATGTTTTGATTTTGATTGGTCAGTTAATCCACAAATAAGCAAAAACCACAAATAAAAAACTTACAAATAAGCTACTTTGACTGTAATTCAGTCTAAAATTAACCGTTTCAGACAAACTTCGATTGTTGTAAAAAACGGTTGTTAATTATTTAATATACTATATAACAAATAATATCAATACTATAGTTTTAAATTATCCAAAACGAAATAATGTATTAATAATTAATTAAATTTTTTAGTACATGATTTATATTTATAAAACCCCAATATAAACGGGGCAGGCTTTCCCCACCCTCACCCCATCTTTTTGTAGAACAATTAAAAAATATGATATATAACAATTTCAACAATTTATTTTTTAAAAAAAATGTGATTTATACTTATTGACAATTCAATTTATCAGTACATTTTTACTTTGATTTTATACAATACTTTTTTATTTTTGTATAAACTGAAAAATAACATATACCTTATGTAAAGCAACAAATAAAAATGATTATAATAAA